TCACCAATAGAGAACAACCCTCGAGGGTAAGAGTCACAGATTACGAGAGAGCGGAACCGTGCCGAGGTCAACCCTGGATAACCTGGTGTCGAGCAAAACGAGGACTTCGAGGCATTACTATATCTGCGGTGACATCTACAGTCGAGGACCATATATGTAGCGCACTATACAATACTAAATGCAATGGTTCTGCAGGACACTATAAGTAATGAGTTATGACAGCTACAACGGCAAGAAAAGAACAAACACTGTCAGAGCAGGCAGCGTGGAATCATGGATCAAGCGCCCAAGTTGTTCTAGATGCGCGATTCCAAAAAGAAATGTCACCGTCTTACCCAAGGGAAATACCAGGCATTGATGAAGGCTATGGCCAAAAGTCAGACTTTGCCGGCGTTTCTGTTCTCATGGACTAGGTTCTGAATTCAGACAGCGGAGTGCGCCCTGTAAGCCAGGTCTGCGGAGATTAAATCCTCTCATATATGCCGTCTTTCCGTCATGCACAAGTTCAAACTCAGACCGAAATGCCCCTCCATTTGCCGAACTGGACGAAAATCACCGCGAAAACCGACACTAGCCTTAGAAACTAGCGCAAAAACCGTAAGCTTGAATTAAGCTGTTAAACAGTGCCAAGTATTGTAATAAATTTGTATACTTTTTCAGTAACTACATTCACACCTAAATCTGAACCTACAGGTCTTCAGGTGTTAGCAAGTGCAGACATGAGTGCTCATAGCTCTTCAGGCAGAATACTCTCAGAAGTGGTGTTCATGCTGAAAAAATCTCGTTCCTGGGTGGATTCAATGCTTGCCGAGTCCCAAACACCAGGGTATAGCCGCTTCCTTCAGAATAAGGGCCGTATCTATTATGATCATGCATGTCACATTATAGAGAAGCTGGACAAGATGGTACCCCAATATGTTAACTCGTCGTGAGTACAACCATAATATTCTACTTTCCTAGGTTCCAGTTGCACTCAACAGCAACAAGGTGTAAGCAATGTACAACAGTCTTCCACCATATCAAGCCTTTTCTTTGTCTCCAGCTCCATGCTAGATAACGAGATATTTTCCCCTTGAGAGTCTTATACGACCAAGTATGTGCGCAGATGCGGCAAGTACACACCACATGTGACCGTTAAATTGCCTTTCTTGTCAGTTATAACGGCGCGCTATTGAAGTACTAACATAAATACAACCTTGTATTGTATTATAAGTCGTAATCAAATATATGGTCTATATAATGGAGATTCCATAGGTTCATATTGAGACTTGGTTAACAAAAGATGTGTCAATAAAATTAAGACAGAGCTTCTATTACCATATCATTGTTACCGCATCGTTCCTGGTGCTAGATTAGAATAATCGCTTTAAAGCTCTCCTGCTGAGCACCTCTTGATCGCTTGCACTTCCTTCCTATCCTGTCTGATATCATAAGCCCGACGGATAGATAGATCAACACGGGATGGAACAAACCTTGAAGCCATCTGTTATCTGCCTCAAAGGACACAAAACATCCTCGTAGAGCCTTTCTCTCAGCTTTCTTGTATCCTTCGGTTGTCCACTCAACACGAGGCAGGTCATTGCCGCCTTGGCGTACTTCGAACCCATCTTATTACCCAATCGACGGGCGCACGCTTTCAGGCGCTCATATTCCGTCTCTCCATGCTTCAGCTCTCCTAATACCGCTCGTGCCTTCGAAAGTATCGCCTTCAACGTCTGGCCAAACCCGATCTCGATGAGCACCGCTCCGAGATAATACAGATCATATCTAACGTCACCCTGTTCCACAAAGTCATTTGGCGCTGGGAGCCTCTGGAGGCCCCAACTTTCAGGACGCACAGGTTTGAGACCAATGAGATAGGCAGAGCTGACCTGAGCGTCAGCGTTTGCGCCTTTCTCTCCTCCCTTGGCCGATAAGAGCACGTTATCGCTACAGATGGCTTGGTGTACCCAGCCCACCGCGTGTAGCTCAAGCACTGCCATGGTGACCTCCGCAGCCATGCGAAAGCGGTCTTCGAGCGCTATCCGCATACCCTCACTCAGGGCGTGAGCTAGAGTCGGAACAGGCGCCCTCATGTTAAGCTTTGGCATAATCATAAGGGGGAGCTGATAGATGAGGAAATGTATGCTGCCGTCGTGCTGCTTTGCGTACCCTATGCACGGGAGGAAGTGTTCGGAATGAAGGGAAAATCTGGCGCATAGAAGATGGCTGCTATCCTTTCGATCTCGCTTCTCGATTCAGCGTAGCGGTGGGCTTCCACATACACCACGTCTGTGTCGTTGAGGGTAGCAAACGCACGATCATGGATGGCGGGCCCGACTCTTTCCAGAGCGTAGTTTTGGATGAAGGGGGGCTGTGATTGTTCTCCGCGATTGTGGATTCGTCGAGCCAATGCCACCGCGCTCGTCAATGAGTCGTCGTACATCTTCGATGAATTACCATACATTCTCAATGAATGATGGTACGTTCCCAACAATTGCTTGTATAGGACGTCAATACCTGTGATCTTCAGCAATACGTCATAGGCGCGGATCGTTAATCCAGCTTCTTCCACCCACGCCTTGAGCTCGAAGACCAATTCCTTGATCCGCCTTTTCCTCGGCTCGATCCACTTCAGTCTGCCCTTGACGATGTTCGGTGAAAGCTGGACCCCCAGCTCGAATGATATATCCTCGACCTTCTGCAAGGACTGAGAGATAGCATTCTGTGCGTGAGACGAGAGAGTCGGCTCAGATTTCCTGAGATATTGGCGGAAGATGTCCAGTCGAGATTGGACGCATTCCAGGCAACCTTCTGTCAACTGAATGGTTTCAGATGCAGCACGGTAGTTGGAACACTTTGCTTGGATGTCGCCAATTAATTTGGCGGTCCTGTTGGCTGCGCTAAGACTGTCCATGAAAAAGGTCAGCGGTCAGAGATTCCTCCTCTTTAGACGGAAGACTTTCTCACCCATTGACAGGTCGCTTGGGATCTGTGATAGAATAGGAAGGCGGGCGCTAGAAGGTGGGTGCCGCAGATCATAGGAGACCGGTAACCTCGCTGATAGAGTGAGCAGGGCAATCTTTTTTTGTCGAGAAAGACGACGGTCTACTGTTGTTATGCTGTGTCTGCCCAGGCGTTTACGGTCAAGGGCAATGTACATGCGGTACACTATAGAACAGAAAGCTTCTGCAGAAATTCTCTACAAAACGCCTACCGCAATAACGACACAACGAGCACAATTTTTGTACCTGCCAGCGCCTAATCAAGCGCCTATGACTTACTCTGGAAGTGTACGTATGCCTAGCTCTGGTGGGTTGGGAAGAAATGGCCCCATTTTAAGGCGCTTATCTCAAGGAACCTACAATGCGGTGATGAGCGCTAGGTCAGCAGAAAGACTTTCCGCGTACCTGTTTTTGCTCTTCTCCCGAAGATTCGCGCCTTCTCAAGGCAGTGGTGCAGAGCTCAAGGCCGTATCACAAGTGTTGGTGTAGGACTACGGCATGAAGTAGACTGAACCAGGTAGTCACCGTTACGACTCCAAAGTACTCGTTCCTCAGGGTTAAATCGAGCCGAGTAGCGATGGAAAGTCATGAGAAGCTACATCTAGAACAGCGCTAACGTCATAAACACGAGGCTGAGGCGCTACTAGTATGCCATCGGATCTACGTTGTCTGTACGCTGATATGAAACATCGCCAAGAGACTACAGCAGACGGACCTCATTGCTGTATCTTTAGGCAAGACGGAAACGCATCCTCGTGGCCAAATGCTATGGACACGTCGTAGGTTCCTCATATGTTTAGCGAAGTGCACTGTGCCAACCGTTCCACGAAATTGACAAGACGAAATGAGTACAAGGATGATCACAAGTCGAGACGCAACGTTTATTTGTCGCTGGAATGAGCCTGTACGTCTCAAAAAATCCAGACGAACAAACGAAGCCAGAGCGTACGGGACCCAAAGTGTAAGTCGATGCATGCTCTCCATGCTCAACGGGAGGTAGAAAGATCTGCTCCGTGGGCACAGTTCCAGCCCAGGATTCAGATGGGATCTGTGCGTTAGCCTGCAATAAGACTGGAGCAGTGACGTTCGACGCATTCGAGCTGTACTCGAGATTATTATGCATGGCGCGAGCAACTGCTATTCAGGATATCGATACGGTCATTTAGGTATTCCAGGAATTGACAAGACCTGCAAGGTAACAGGAAAAATGAATACAAGCCCTAGTTAATAGCGTGACAGGTAAGAGTCCTATGTCAGATGCATTAGAATAGTTGATCAGAGATGTAGTCAAATGCACGTACCTTGGCCGCCGCCAACGGAGGTAAAGGTCATATGCAGGGGACATCATGATTCATCGCTCACTGGCTGGCACAAGAGACGAGATTTCGCACGGCGAATGACAAAGTTCGTTCGCGACAGAACTTTTAGAAGCCGATGATTTCCTTGGGGAGCAGGATACGGATCCCTTTGGCGTCAGAACTTAAGTTGTACGAGAGTCGATATCGTGCTCAATATACGGAACACTGTCGCCAGGAAATGTCATGATTGAAAGATGAGCAAGTGCAAAGAACATACCTTTCAATTTCAATTTCATTGCTCATTCTATTGCGACTCCGATCCTTTTGGGCTATCACCAGGAACGACATCTTCACCTGTTTATCGATTCCAAAGACAAGCGCAGAGGGCAGGCGCGAATAGCGAACGTAACGTTGCACTTTGATGGCAGTTGGGTTCAAGGGGGCTAAAGTCTCGGCTTTCTATCATCGTAGTCTTCTGTAAGGTACGCGAGATATCGAGCTGCTTCCTCATTATCTGGAACGATGGTCAAATATCACAACGGCAACGATGTCGGCGAAAACAAAGGAGATGAACGTTGTCGTAGGACGATCAATGATCAGTCACAAGTGAGCACTGAGCAACGAGCAGTGAGCGGCCGCCGGCGAGCGTATGTGAAATTCAAATTGCCATGTGCATACACCGCCAAAAAGATACCTTTGAGGCGCTATTGCAGAATAGCTGCCCCAGTGAGGCTCGAACTCACGACCTTCCGATGTCACAATAACAGTCGGACGCTGTAACCAACTCAGCCATGGGGCACATGCTACTTTAATGCAACGTAAGCTAGTAGGGTTGAAGTAGCAACGAAGGATATCCTCAATAGAACACTCTAGTTAATCTGATTTAACCTTATTCGACAAGGCATTCCACCTCCCCAACAGATGGTTTGCTCTAACGATCAGTAAATCCCTCAACATCTGCAAGGACGCCGTCACCACATTCAGTTTGCTCCCTGCGACCTCATGCCAGTCGATAGGCACTTCTGCAACAGGTATGTGGAGCTGCTTGGCGAGCAGGAGGAGCTCGACGTCAAATATCCACGTAGGTAGGTGCTGGTGAGGAAATATCTGCTGCGCCGCAGAACGCGAGAACAGCTTGAACCCGCATTGAGTATCGCGGATGTGTCCGACACCTACGATTCGTAGGATGGTGTGCAGCCCATACATGAGGATGTTCCGGAGTAGCGAACGCTGAAGAATATCCTAAGCCACGGTAAAGGGGAAGGGGCAGATGCGTACGTACCTTCACGACTGCGTCCGTTCTGACAAGATGTGCACGACTCCCGACTACGACCCCGGCACCACGGTCTGGTGCGATATCGTCCATGGCGCGCCAGAGGAGCTCGAGGTCGTTGAACCGACTTGCTCCGTCGGCATCTACCATTAAGAGCCGCTCCCCGCTCGCATAGAGCATCCCATGACGCACCGCACCGCCCTTGCCCAGGTTTTTCTTCAGAGTCACTACGCGAATATCACATTTTGGGTACTTCCCCGCGAGAGTGAGAGACGCGGCAGATGTATCGTCAGAGGAGCCGTCGTCGATGATGAGCACCTCAAATGAGTGTGTCGTTTTGCTGAGGTGGTCGATAGCAGAGGATAGCATGATGGGGAGGCGCTCAGTCTCGTTGTAGGCGGGGATGACGACGCTAAGGCCGACGCTGCTCGGGTCAGAGAGAAGTGGCAGGGGCTGGGCATCGGTCTGATACTTGTGTGAGCGGTACTTCTTTTCAGAGTCGTGGGTGATTATTGGGTCAGGAGCCCATGCGACGAGAGCAATGTACAACTAATAAAACGGTTAGCTGAAGGCGTCCAAAACATAATAATGAGCAAGGAAAGGAATCAGAGAGGGTTGTTATACCCTGACCCAGATATTTTCGTCCTCACCACGGCGTACAAAGACCCACAGCTCAAAGAACAAGGATGAAACGGGTTTTCATCTCGCTGAGGGAAATCGCAGCAACACGTACAGATATCACCGTCCCAAAGACTGCTGCGAGGCCAGCATACGCGATAGTGGAAGTTTCCATTCTCCTCTACGAGACGTTCATTCAACCTCAGACAATTCCTGATTGAAGTGAGAGAAAGGAACGAGAATAAAGATAGGTTGAGGTTGAAGGGAAGGAGGCACGCTGGTGCGAAGACATGGCGTTCGAGCGTGAGAATTTGGCGACTACGCCGTCGACGTGGAGCCTTCACAATTACCTTATTGGAGTTGAGTTGAAAATATTCAGAAATTAAATAATTGCAATTGAGGTGTTAGACTTTTGATCGTACAGTGAGATACATTTGATACTTGATACAATATTACAAGCACTACACAGAGAATCGGGAGAGGCTGGAAGCAGTACATCGCGACTCACACGTTCCTCTTGTCAACTTTCTGGCTCTGCGAAGAAGCGAGAGCTATATGACGAGGAAAATTAGGACATATGGTATTCCGTTAGTGGTAGATATTCCATTGAACCCTTAGATTGATAGGGACATAGGAGGGGGTGCAAACTACAGGAATATGAGCGAATCGGCATTGCAAACCAGACACCACGTACGGATTCTGGTATCCGTGTAAAGGGAGGAGACGAGGAAAGCGGCTGTCGGGATAGCATCGGTCTTCTGACCAATTGTGAAGGCTCTCCTGACGGTTGGAAACGACTAGGATAGGCATTTTCACCGGGTAAAGTGGAATCCTCATGTCATGGCTTGATTTGGACTCAGAAAACAGGAACCCATACCGAACGTGGTTGTGGGCTTGATCCAAGGAATAGGTTGACCGGTGTTCACGTACATGATTGTGGCTTAGACGAATGTCGGCACATGATGGCACTTGCACCTACGACGGATGTCGAGGACAGCGCAGAAGGGATGGTGCCATTGGCAAAAGGGTTTTTTGGCGATCGTTGTGGAGTCGGTGGAGAAAGTGCGAATGTCTCTGCTGAAGTTAAGGGGAGTGATAACTTCACAGCTTCACTGTGTCCATTGGTAACTTCTGCCTCACCAAATTCCTTCTTCCAAGCCTCTAACCCCCTACAAGAATGATTGGCGCATGCATCAACATACGAGTGAATTCCCGCTCATAGATTGTCTGCACCAAGACGGAAAGTGGCGAGTTCAGCGGGCCGAAGCTCATTGGATTCCAGTCGTATAACACGACGTAGTCGAATTTTTCACGATTAACAATGAAATGAACTTCGGTGGTAGGACTGGTGAACGGGCTCGTGTGCTTGACGGCCTCCCAATTGGATCCGTAAAGTTGCGCATAACGTGCGGCAAAGGTGTCGAGGACTTGAGTGGAGGCGTCGTGTGGAGAGCCGACGCTAAAGCCAGTAGACACTAGTGATAAGCCATTTCGTACATCTTTGGACGACCTGCTCGAGCTGGTGCTGATGCCGGTGGGAACAGGTAGTTGTGTTGACGGGGTTTCATCCATGATCCAATTCATCAATGGGTGGAAAGGTCTGGGTGAATTCGGAAAGGTTATACTGCGACGACAACGGAGAGGACGGCGGCGATGAATCGATGAAGGCCCGAAGAATGAAGGAGACACCAAAGAGTTAGACGGCGGTGGGGGATGACGCGCAGCGCGGCTGTGTAATGGTGGCGACCGTACCGGAGACGAGTGCTAAAACAACAGACGTTTAGACGTCGTATTGACAGTTAAACTATTATCTCGCAGCGCCTGCAACCGGTCTGCATGGGTAGAAATGAGACTCTCGAGTGGGTTAGTGGTCGTGCTCAGCATGGACGACGGCGTTCCAGGCCACGGTGAGCAGTGCGTCTCCCGTTCAGTGCGTGGAGTATTTTTCGGTGAACGGCGTGGATAATAACACAGTGAAAAAGAATAAAGATGTGAAGTGTTGAATAAAGAGAGAATTTTCAACCGGGGCCACTCCTGTGAAAAGAATCAGGATAGTAACGGTCACGGTCACAATCTGCCCAATCCGTTGCCATCATCGTCGCGTGCATCATTTTTGGCCTGGAGATCCCTCTGTCTAATCACCCTAACTGTCCAACAGTGTATTGCATATGCAGTTCCCCTATGCCATCCGCCGTTGGGTTGCATCCGTCGGTCTCAATGCGGGAATGAGTTCTCTTGCAAGACTGCACGTTCAAACGCATATCCCTCCGGCACATTCACTTCGGTGCCGGGTTTGCATCAGCCTGAGTCGAGAGCTATTATTGGAAACGTGATGACCCGAAGGTTATCTTGTAATAGATCCGGCAGACCCTAACGTCTACTTATAAGTATGCATACTGCGAATCGACTTCCCACTCATCTACCATCATGACTCAGACTTCAGTTCTCATCGTACGTCTTTCGCTAAAATTCCTTGTGCATGATCTCACTGCTACTTGTAGGCCGGAGCGGGTCCATCAGGCCTTGCCCTAGCTTTTGCTTTACGACAGAATGGCATGTCCGTTCGCGTCATAGACAAGGGCGAAACTCACAAGATCGGCCAGAAAGGGTGTGGTAGCCAGGTTCGTATACACACCAGCGCGTCTACTTAGTCGCTGATGCACACCTGGATTCAGCCTAGGATTCTCGAACTTTACAAGTTCATGGGTGTCCTACCTGTCATTCAGAACAGAGGAGGCTCTGTCGTTCCTTTCATTCATCACCTCTCAAATGGCGAGACAAAGACCATAAACATGGCCGCTAAAAGGGAGCCCACCCCAGATAAACCTTATGTATGTAATTTCCCTTCCTGAGTGAGCCAAATTTTTGACACTCGACAATTCCCCCAGAACAATCCAATCTTGCTCGGCCAAGATCGCCATGAAGCCGTTCTAAGAGAACACTTGGCCAAGTATGGATGCGAAGTCGAGTTGGGCACCGAACTGGTATCCTTCGAACAGTCTGCAGACCGCGTGGTATCGCACGTCCTCAAGACCCGAGGCGGACAAACCGTTGAAGAAACCATTGAATCTCGATGACTCATTGGCTCTGAGGGTGCCCGTAGCGTTGTCCGCAAAACCCTGGGTTTGACGTTCCTCGGCGAGACCCGACAGAATGAGAACATAGTCGTTGGCGACATCATGATAATCAAGCCACAGCTTGGCGAGGTGAGCTTCGCAGTCAACTCGAGCGTTCCATTCACTGATCATGCCAAGTCTTTCCATCATTACGGAGATTCGACAACCAAATCGTACGTTCTCTCTGAATTTACTTGGAACTATTTTACTATTATCTTCATAGAGTGACCATACGGTCATCTGAGGACCCGACGGTAAACAAATACCAATTCTTTATTATGGGCCACCAGATGGACACGACGACAGTAGCTTCTGGACGGGAGGCATTTATCAAAGAGTTCTATGCTATTTCTGGCCGGACGGACATCGAGTTCGGTGAGCTCGTATGGATATCTAACTTCCGGGGAGTATATCTCGCAGGGAATATGTCTGGATCACTTATGTTTCCTACAGGCCCAATATTCGGATGGTGGACAAGTATGGTTCAGGGCGAGCTTTCGTAGCAGGAGGTGCGACATCCTTCTCTTTACCAGAAATAAAGTTGACGATCGACGTCTATAGACGCTGCCCATGTTCATAGTCCTTCAGGAGGTCAGGTATGTTATGTTAACGAACTATTTATTGACGAGCGCCTGACACAGCCATAGGGCCTAAACTCCGGTATCCAGGATTCGGTAAATAGCTCATCGAACTTACCTCAGACTTGATTATAACATACACGCCAACAGATCAATCTTGCGTGGAAACTCGCCCTCGTCGATAGAGGATTAGCAGCTCCTACCCTTCTCGACA